ACTACTTATATTGAACTATTTCATATACCACGTCGCCATTGAGATTTATATAAAAATGATCGCGACCATGTCATTGGGTTCAGCACAAAATCAGAAAAAAATGGGGAAAAATTTTTTGGAAAAAAACCATAGAGTTTTTGGGGAACAAAATTTGGGGAAAACCATGGACTAGTTGAGTTTTTGACTTTTTGGGAAAAAAATTTTGGAAAAAAAATTGCGGAAAAAAATTAGGGAAAAAACTGGAAAAAAAATTGGAAAAAAATTGAGGAAAAGAAAATTTTTGGAAGAAAAAAATAGGGAAAAATTGTGGAAAAAAAATTGGGGAAAAAATTTTAAGATTTTTTTTAAATAGCTACTAATTGTTATATTAATTTTTAACAAACTAAACTTCTGTAACTCTATTAATATTTCTTATTTATTACAAACATTTTTAAATAATTACTAATTATTATATTAATTTTTCACAATCTAATATAAAAATTCGAATCGATCTTATTCGAAGTATGAAACTCTCCCTAGCTGCCGACCTTTCTGACCCAGATGATCATCTTGAAATATCCGTTACTGACCCACTCCTGCATTTGCTCGATGGAATGGGGCCCATAAACGTCGTCGTCCTCCGAGGAGCCCAACTTGAGTCCTTTATTCGTTGCTGAGGACTTTGGGTACCCTTCTGCAATCGCTATTTTAGCCTTTGCCTTCTCGTCGAAGTCATCGGCGTGCACGTCGAGTTGGTTTTAGAAAAAATCATGGACAATAGTCCTAGATTTTGAAACTGAAATTAAAACAAACTAGTGGTGTATGGCGTCGTGCATTAAGGCAAATTGCTGGAACTTACCATACGAAAATTAAATTAAAAAAAAAAATTAAATATGTTTTAAATTTTGAAGAAATTAGATTTTTGAGAAATTTTAAATTTTGGAAAATAAAATTACTTTTTTTGGAAAAACAAACTTTGGGAAAAAAATGATTTTTTTAGTTTGGAATAATTTTGAAATATGGTGTATAATTTTGAAATTTGAATTTTTTTTTAAAGCAATCGCACTGCCTTAGCTGCGTAGAGACGCAATATTGAGATATGTCTAATGATCATAAAAATAGCAGTCCAAGTTTTGACTTTATGTTTCACTTGACTTCACATATACTTATGATCGTCGATCGATGCATTTGCAAAATGTGTTTGTTAAAAATTTTCATGAAAAAACGAGAAAATTGTAAAAATGGTTATTATGTTGGGTTTTGAGTTCGAATTCCCAAGCAATTTATTAATTTAACACATCATTTGTATGTAAGACAGCATGTTTATTAAATCTGTAAAAAGGACAAAAAGTCTTTCTCAAAATAGTTTGGAATTTCTTAATTTTCGAGTAGACGAGTTTGTAAGGAGACCGACATAGACAACCTATAGTCCATCGGATCACAAAAACGAAAAGTGCACACAATTTATCTTTATTTATATATATATATATATATATATATATATATATATATATATATATACGAGGTCTGTTCAAAAAGTTTTCGTAATTTTCGTTTTTTCAAAAAAATATTTATTTATTCGTCTACATTAATGTGGTCCCCTTCAAAGTAGTCCCCCCCAGATATAATACACTTATGCCAGCGTTTTTTCCAATTTTCGAAGCACCCTTGATATTCACTTTTTGATATGTCCTTGAGCACTCTCGGCGATTTTCTTCAATCGAGGAAAACCGCCGTCCTTTCATGGGTCTCTTCAACTTTGGGAATAGGAAAAAGTCACACGGAGCCATATCTGGTGAATTTTTGCACTTTGCAACACTTTATTTCACTTTTTACGCAAAATTTAATACAAATTCTTTGACTTTTTCAATTCTTCCATTGTAAAAATCGCCGAGCTCAGAAAAACACGTCGAACCTTAGCGACTACCACAGACAAAGTAAACAGTGAATATAGCTGAAAATTTCATCATACTTTAGGGGCATGTATACCAACACAATAAAAAAAAAAATTTTGACAATCAGACACTCCAGACCCGCGAAATTTAATTATTAGTAATTCCGGGTACTTTTTGAACAGACCATGTATATATATATAAAGGGAATATTAATTAATTTAATATTAATTCAATATTAAATATTTATTCTATTAAACATTTGTACATAATCTTATTGATGAGATTAACCTAATCATATGGCAAAGGTAGCATAAAAATCATGCATCTTTTGACTTTGATTGATTAACTTCTATTTTCAATAAAAGAAAAGTATTGGAAGTATATAAAACATTAATAAAAACATACTTCTATGCACTTGTGTGCATAAAATCATTCCACAAATTGTTATATATATATATATATATATATATATATAAATTATTTGAGTTTAAAAGTCGGGCGTACCATCAATAAAAATAGTATGAGAGTTTGTAGAAATGTATTTAAAATCCGTACATTTCGGCTAGTATCTTAGCTTCAGTGGCAATCAATATAACTATGAAAATTAAAACAAAATGAATAATATGTAAGAAATTTCATAGAAAAACAATAATAATAATAAAAAACACTTACAATTTTTTATCCTAATATAACAGATGAAAACATTATTACTCCATGGCATATTTGTTAACACCACAAAACACACAAATTAGCATGAATAACTTTTAATAAGTTGTTGAAACTATATATTGACTATTCGGAGTCTAATTGTAAGATAGAAATGTCACGTTTTTCTTAAAGCAGTTCTTCACATATGTTAAAATTTCACAAGAAATTCAAAAAGAGATGGAATCTTGTCATTTTTTAAGAAATTTTGACACGCTACTTAGGAAACACTACAATGTTTATTGATGTAACGTCCGACTTTTAAAATCAAATAAAATGTATTACATCAACATCAAATTGAAGACTATTCAAATATACAAATATATATATATATATATATATATATATATATATATAATTGTGCTTCAACTTAAAATACATAAGTATAAAGATGGGCCACACCCAACGAACGAACACGAACGAACACGAACGAACATGTCGAACAAGAAAATACAAAGAAGAACGAACAGGAACACGAACGAACGCGAAAAATTCCAAACGAACTTGAACAAGCGCTTAAAAGCAGTGAGGGCTTGAATGTCAGTTTTCAAGTGAGGGAAGGTGAAAAAAGTGATAGACATGTACAAACAGACTTGAGAAAGTATAATGTTATCGTAGGAAGTGCTTTTTTTATATTAAATTCATTGCTAAAAAATATGAAACAAGCAAGAAAGCGACGTTGGTGGATAACATCTTTATTTAAAAGTACAAGCCGGTACAGTTTAATATTTACTTATAAAGACTGCCATTTCTTCTTTACTGCAGCTTTTGACGTCCCAAACGTTTTGCCTACACTTTCCCAAGCATGTTTTTTTTTCTAATAATTTTATAAAAAGGGTCTTTAGTATCCCATAATATAGGAAACTTTTCTATTTCATTTATGAATGATAAAATTACGTCATTTGATAATTCCATAATTTATTAAAAATTTTCAAACTGTACACAACAATCACAAGTGAAGATTAAAACAAAAATGTTTGTTTGCGTTCGTTGAGACGTCCACACTGCAAATACGAGTACCAACATGAACGAACAATTCACTTTGATAAACCGACAAGTTGCGGAACATTGCTCGCCATGTTTGTTCGTGATCGTTGTGGCGCCCACATTATGCTGTTGCCGTTCGTTCTGGTACGTACATTCATGTTCGTTCGTGTTCGTTCGTTAGGTGTGGCCCACCTTAACATAATTCAAAATTGATAATTTTCAAACAAAACAGATTAATACTCATTAATTAATTTACACATTTTTCTACTACCACATAATTTTACTCCAATTGCTAAATATACCCTTCAACCAAAGTACATATTTTGATTATTAAAACATTTTCAAAAAAGGTTCAAATTTGGCTGTAAAAGTAAACTTTAGTTATTGAGTTGAAGTATCTCATACAAAGGTCATACAAGAAATAGGTCTAGGTCTAGAACTGTTAATGAAAACTAAAATTTTAAAGCATAAATCAAAGTACTGTTGACAAATTTGAATCATCGTAAAGTTCTGATATTTATTAATAATTTCAAGTAATTAAAGCTCAAACACAAACATATACATTAATTACTATATTAATATTTATTTAAAAAATTATAATTTAAAGTAATTTCTAAAAATATAAATTACGTTTATTCTATAATCTTATATCGTCAGGTTAGAATTTTGTAATTTCAAAACATTAAGCAAATAATCTAATTTAATGTTAAATAATAAAACACTTATAAAATAGAAATAAAGCGACAATATAATAATTTATTGAAAATTAAAATAAATTTAAAACAAATGTACTTAAATTATCATTACTAATAAAATTTCTTAATTTCATAAGACTAAAACTGAATACAATCAACAGTGGTGAATGAGCATGTTATAAGAAAGAAGTCATATTGCCAATCGCTATATATAGCTTTTGAAATATTTTTTTCAATTCTCATAGTACTACTAATTATCACAGATCTAAGCCCATCAACTCCACTGTTGATATATGTAGTAGAAAAGTGAAATCTTATAAAAAGGAATAATTTACCTAAATAATTTAAATAATAATTGCATCATTTCAATATAATTCCCAGTTACCTTCTGGATACATTTAAAATTGTATATTCACCACGAATATACAATTTATGCTATCAATTAGTTCATAGTTATTTAGATTCATGTAAATGCAAGTATAAAAACCTATTATGAGTTACAAAAACGACTAACATTATCTAAAATATGAAACTGATTGACATAACTTAAGATAAAAAAAATACGAAGATGGCCAATTTAATTGAAAGAAAACGCCTAAAATGATTTGTGTCTGATATAAATAATATCATATAAAGCATAACCCTTCAATATATAAAAATTAAGTAAATTTGAATTAAAATTTTATATGCAGCAAACAAGTATTGTTGTTAAGTATATTATGTAATACTAAAATTCACTCACAAATCTAACCGAACAAACGAATTAATAAAATTTTACACATATTATTAATTACACAAAAGAGAGTAGTACTTACAAACAAATTCTCCAGGGCTTAGCTTGATCATCATTTGTTAAATTGTCATTTATCTCCGAATCAGAACTCTTTATATCTGAATAGCTAGGTAATCTAAAATGTGATAAGTCTCTTTCATGATATTCTAAATGAACCACATGTTTACTACGACTCCTTTTAGCTGATAAATTGATTTTCATTTTTCTTTTTTTTCTCCTAACTGGTGAAGTTATTGAAGAGATCTGGTCCACTTCTGATTCCGTTGGTTCACCAGCTGAACTCGAGACTTCATTCCCTGATGCCTCACTAGGCGTTGGTATGACTTTTAAATGATAAACATCCAAATCACCGTTCATGATAGTATCACAAACTCCACCTAGTCCTAGATCATTTATACCGCCTTGAGTATTATCCCCAGTTAATTCTTGAGAAGATATTGGCATTGTCGTAGTTTTATTTGAGACATCTGGATAATAATCAGAACGTAGTGTCTGTAAAAATATGAAAAGTAATTATTAACTTACCGGGAAGAAGTTTATGTTTTCATCAAAAAATTCGATTCGCTAGTTTTATGTTTTCTCGACGTTTCAAGCCATTCTGAATCGAATGAGATCAAATTTGGAAATGCGTGTGCGTGTGCGCGCGTGTGTGTGTGTGTGTATGTGAACAGCTTTTTTGCCGTAATCGACAAAATTTGCAAAAATTAGCTTCGTTTTTTTGACATTTGTCAAAATTAGACTTTTCATCGAAAATTAGACTTTTCATCGATTGCTCAAAAACGCCCGAACAGATTTCAGAAATTTAAAACGTATTTAATGTATCTTAATGAGGACTATCGTTTGCCAGTTTTGTGCGTCGATCTGCCAAGCCGTTTCTCTGTAATTTGGAAAAAAGCGTTAAACTTTTCGTCCACATTTGAACTCATACTACCGAATCGATTTTAAAAAATCAAAAACTCTTCGAAAGATATTAGTTGGGAATGATACTGATTAGTTTTTGGTAAAAATCTACCAAACCGTTTTCTTGTAATTAACTGATGAAAAAAAAATTAAACCAATTTTTATGGAACTTTTTTGGCGCTATTATATATCATGGTCTTAAAGAACTTAATGAAATGTTACGGCCTTACGACAAGTAGTTTAATATTTAAAATTCATCAAAGTTTGAGAAAAGAGTATTTTTGTACGTTTGTTAGACGATTTACTTGGTATAACAATAGAGTACTTGGTCTTAATGAACATACTAAACCATTGAAGTCCTACGGAAACTGGTTCAATTATAAAAATAGTTGATTTTTGAAAATTTGCTTTTAGAAATCGTGTTCGTTCGTTTTCAATTATGTGTAATAAGTCCACTCGGAATTTTTTTATTCATTCATTAATTAATTCATTTATTATAACTTTATTTTTTAATGATTATTAATTTTTTTTATTGTTTAAATCGATTACTTACACATATCGGGAAGTTCATGTAACTTGCCTCAAGGCAAAATACCAATACCAAATAGTTTTGCATTAACTGCAAATGATATAATAACTTATACATAATTATTGTATTATTATATTGCAAGCAGAACAAATATTAATTATGTAAATATGAATGCTTGATACTATTAAATACAGTTTGTCTCTTGTATGGTGTTAACATTTGTGAAAAAAATTCACAATTGAGTCAATTGATCTCGGGCCATTTATTATCAAACTACTTATTTGTAAAATGTTTGAATGGCATTTACTTAATTTTATATATTTACATTGAATAGCATGTACATAGTATGTTAATCTTTAATCAAGAGATAAGACCGTCGGCTTTTTTGCAACCTTTACTTTTATAACAAAAGTATTTCTTATACGTTTCAGACAGTTGTAAAATGTATTGTCTAATAAAAATAATAAAACCAGTTGAAGTGGCATTTTACCATTAATTAACCTAGCAATATTTTAAATTATCAACTTAATCAATCAGATATCAAAATATTAATTTATGAGTCATTTATAAGTATATCTGAGAGAATCTATTGCAGATTATTCAATTTTAAACGAATTTATTAATTACATATTATTGAAAAACAAGCACATACCTAATACATACACGCATTACTATTCTATAAGCGCTGATTAATCATCATTAAGTAATTGAAAAAAGGGCGTATATATATATATATATATATATATTTTGTAGAGTTTCGAACAAGAATCCAAAAATAATACAAAATAAAAAACAAGAAAAGTTTTTAAAAAAACAATTTCTTTATTTAATTATTTGTTTATTGTCGACGTTTCGGAACTAGGTACGTTCCATCTTCAGGACATCTGTCAAGAAACATGATCTTGATGAGATTTTTGCAAACAATATGTTTAGGAAAAGAAAATAGATTTTTCTTAAATAATGAATTAAATTGTAAAAAATATAATAATGTACAGAAATATGATAATATGTTCAAAATAAAAATGATAAAAATAAATGAGTGGATTATCAAAACAGGATATTAAACATAATAGAAAATTTTTTTGAAAGTTATGGAAATTTTTTAAGAAAAGGTTAATGACAAAGTTGAATTAATTACCTGTATGTTTGAATATTTGTTAGCACTTTTTCACTAAACAAGCTTTTTTAACAAAAATGATTTTGTGAGTTAATTTTCCACCGAATAATTCCGAAACGTCGACAATAAACAAATAATTAAATAAAGAAATTGTTTTTTTAAAAACTTTTCTTGTTTTTTATTTTGTATTATTTTTGGATTCTTGTTCGAAACTCTACAAAATATACACAAATCCAAGACTCTACCATTCAATATATATATATATATATATATATATATATATATATATATAATATTTGAGTTTAAAGAACGTTACATCAATATGAATATTATGAGAGTTTTTAGAAATTTATTTAAAATCCATACGTTTCGTTTTTTTTTTCAAGATCACGTTTCTTGACACATGTCCTAAAGATGGAATGTAAATAGTTCCGAAACGTCGACAGTAAATAAAAAAATAGTAGCAAGGATGCTGTATGTCACCGAACGAGGCACATTGGTACCCAGGCTTACGTCAAAAGACATTTTAGAGATACGAGTCGTCGAATTATTTCAAAATAATTGACAATTAATATCAACTAACACAGAAATTTCAATTAATTAATATTAAATGTTACATTATTTTTGTTCATCAGATACAACAATTCACACCCATTAAGATTATTTATGTTATTATATTACATATTATATATTAGAGATGGGTAACTCACTCCGGAGTTATCACTCTCATACAACTCCTCCCTCGGAGTGAATCCGAGTGGAGTTGTCTCACCGGATTTGTCATATCCGACTTTCCTAAATTGGTACTATCTCTGTTAACATGTGCAGATATTTGCTTGAGATTTTTTACTAATACAAAGATTTGGGTCAAAAGAAGTGTTTTTTTTTTCTCATCTCACAGGCAGTTTTATGACCTTTTAGGTATACGTTTTTTTTTTTCAGAAAATACAAAAATATTACTTCAAAGATACAGAACAATGAAATTGTGTTCAAGTGTGAATAGCTCAAATATATAATTTATTGAATAGTAAGGGGTCAAATTTCTAACTACGACAATCTTTGGCCGTTAATGACGGTAATCAAGAATATACATACCCAAAAACACACGAAATAAAATACATTTAATATGTTTTTTTCCATAGCAACACTTTAGAGTGCAAAATATATCTAAATATATTGAGTGACGTCAATAGTATTTAAGCAGCAAAAAATATATAGTATTAAATTTTTACTTTTACACAATTATATATTTGTGTAAAAGTAATAATATGCTAATCAAACTACCCGATATAATAAACCTCTGCTATTTCCTCGAATGGAAATAGCAGAAGAAAAATTAGAAAGCAGAAGTATTATTATCTGATGAAAATATTTTATAATAAATGTTTTGCTTTTATTACAAATTTTACTACATTATTTTTATATAAAATTCTCATCAAAAGAAGTTTTGCGTTTTTACTTTGGTCAACACTGTTAAAATTCGAGTCATTGTTTACTAAGTTCACTACATTATTTTTATACAAAATTCTCAACAAAAGAAAATAATTAAGGTTTTTGAAATTAAATAAAGTTTTGCGTTTTTACTTTGGTCAACACTGTTAAAATTCGAGTCATTGAGTCGATCATGTAGTCAGCCGAAAAATTTTACAACTCGTCATTTATTTGTGAATTTTTTAGAAAAATTATTTTATTGATATTTTTTAATTTTATTTTATTCATAATTTTTCATTTCAAAAAATTAAATGGGATTTGACAAATCCTTAGATGCATAAACAACGCACTATATATACACATTTGTTTCAAGTATTATGTTTCAAAGTTGTCGGAGTCGTGAAGCGGATATAAATCCTCCCTGAAGCGGAGTCAAATCCGAGTTGATCCGGCTTCGGATATGATAAACCCATCTCTATTATATATATATATATATATATATATATATATATATATATATATACTTTGTAGAGTTTCGAACAAGAATCCAAAAATAATACAAAATAAAAAACAAGAAAAGTTTTTAAAAAAAAACAATTTCTTTATTTAATTATTTGTTTATTGTCGACGTTTCGGAACTAGGTACGTTCCATCTTCAGGACATCTGTCAAGAAACATGATCTTGATGAGATTTTAGCAAACAATATGTTTAGGAAAAGAAAATAGATTTTTCTTAAATAATGAATTAAATTGTAAAAAATATAATAATGTACAGAAATATGATAATATGTTCAAAATAAAAATGATAAAAATAAATGAGTGGATTATCAGAACAGGATATTAAACATAATAGAAAATTTTTTTGAAAGTTATGGAAATTTTTTAAGAAAAGGTTAATGACAAAGTTGAATTAATTACCTGTATGTTTGAATATTTGTTAGCACTTTTTCACTAAACAAGCTTTTTTAACAAAAATGATTTTGTGAGTTAATTTTCCGCCGAATAATTAGATTTTGTAAATCAAAATTACTAAAAATTTGTCTTTTTTAAAATTATTATTTGAAAACACAAATAATATTGTTCTCTGGATGTTGTTCGATTGGTTTTCGAAAATTAACTAAATGAAACTGGTGTGCCTTTTGTAACACGTGTAAACACTTGAAACGAGAGATGTGAGATTGTATGTGTGTGTTTTTATATGTCAGGGTGTGAATACTTAAATTGTTGATCTTAAAAGGAAGTCGATATTAATTGTTTGTCAAAAAGTGTAAAAAATTTAAATATGAATCATGTAATAGGTTGTGATCTGATCTAATGTTGACACTGTTAGAAACATTTATGAGGATGAGACAACTCTCCGCGAATAACCTTCTAAAGATGCAACTTTCGTGATATAAAATCTTTGGAGTGAAATTAAATCTATTTTCTTTTCCTAAACATATTGTTTGCTAAAATCTCATCAAGATCATGTTTCTTGACAGATGTCCTGAAGATGGAACGTACCTAGTTCCGAAACGTCGACAATAAACAAATAATTAAATAAAGAAATTGTTTTTTTTTAAAAACTTTTCTTGTTTTTTATTTTGTATTATTTTTGGATTCTTGTTCGAAACTCTACAAAATATACACAAATCCAAGACTCTACTATTCAATATATATATACATATATATATATATATACATATATATATATATATACATATATATATATATATACATATATATATATATATATATACATATATATATATACATATATACATATATATATATATACATATATATATATATATATACATATATATATATATATATATATATATATATATTTTCCTTACATTTTGAAATAAAATTCTACGTCATCATTGATTGAAATTCTTAGATTAACTTATACATGTTACCAGCACATAAAATATTTTTAGGAATTAAATAAACAAGATGTAGCTCATCCGAGGCAAGTTTAATTTCTGTCCGAATTAGAATTAAATTTTTGTGTTGTTATTTATATTTTGTTTTTACTTTTGCAAAAAATGATGTGGTATTGATTTGGTCTTTAAGAAATAATTAGTTTTTATTTTTATTAAAAAAAACATACATTTTAAATTCTTACCAATTTAGCGCTGTTTTGCATTACGCTGTATGTTGTACACTGTATATATATCACTTTATTTTTCATGAATATCATTGATATTCATTTAGTTATATTATAATATTAAGATAAAAATAATAGGTGTATTGACTTTAATTGTAAATATTGAATTTAAATAAGGTATCTATCTATCCATCTATATATATAGTTAATTTTAATTACGATACTTATAATTGCTATATATAATCATAATCATACCTTTGTCAAATTCAAATGTGTTCCTGCATCATGCATATCCTTCAGAAGTTGTGTGAATGTTCTGTAGCATTCCATGTCAACACTTGATTCAGAAGATGTTCTTCTTACTTTACGCTTTGCAATTTTATTATTCATATATTCTAAACCTTCTTCCACGGCTCTCTGTTTCATGCAATGTCTGACAAAAGCTTTCTCTTCTTCATTAGTGATGTGACGTTGATGTAAATCATTTCTACGCTTCATGAAATCTAGTGGTACTATAAACCTTTTCCAACAATTTTCCCTTCTGCAAGGTGTTGATATTCTGCAGTGCAGCTCAAAATGTGCTTTTTGATCATCAACATAGTCTATATTATTGTCACAACAAATGCACATAACTGGACTAGAAATGTGAGTCATCAAGTGACAATCTAAATATTTTCTAAAAAAAAAAACGTGTTTTTATTACATCAATACCTAAATCACAATCATATATTTTACAGACAACTTTTAATCTTCAATTAATGTAGTAAAAATTATAAATTGATTATAAACAAATTTTGACTTTTCTATTTGTAAAGGGTAATGAAATCGGAGTATCAGAAAAATAACAAAAACAATATTCATTAAAAATGTTCAATATAAAAAAAATAGTCAACAATAAAATATAAAGCCCTCAAATTTGAATGGATAAGGGCAAAGATAAATATTTCATTTATAAAGTAAAGTATGTCTAGTATAATTAATTTTAATTATATATTAATAAAGAAACTTGAAACATACTTGCAAGTAAATCTCATTGAGCATTCCTCACAATAAAACAGTTTTAGTAATAAGTGTTCTTTCTCTTCATGCTCCATGAGATCATCTAAGTTATTAAATTTACCTGGGCAGCTAATTTCCATACACTCATATATTAGGGCATTAAATCCTACAAAATTTAATTCATTAATTGCATTACTTATTCCTTGTGCATCATTTGGGTGTCAAAGCAAAATATAATTTATATAAAATATTGCAATTACAAACTAAATGCATTCTTTCACACTCACCATCATTTTGTGACCTTACTGATCTTCTATATAGTTTTCTATAATTATTGCTACTTCGGCTTGTGCTGCGACTGGTACTCATTTGACTATAAGAGTTTGGTGTACCCATTCGACTAAAACTGTTCCTTCTCCTTGCATAACTATTTCTTCTATGACTTAAGTGATTTCTTCTCTGACTAAAATCTGCTCGATTTTGACTTACAGTAGTTCTGCTACAATTGGAATTCCAACAATTTTCGGATTTTAAATCTTGCTCCAACTGTTTAAGAGCTCTAGTAACATTCCTAGTACGTGGTCTTGATGATAAAGTTGATATGTTAGTCAAAATAGTTTCTTTACTTTTATTACCTTCATATGAATATTCAGAAGAATTAAAATTGCATTTAGCTTCCAGATCAGTGGAGTCTAAAAAAAGAAAAGTGCTAAAATATTTTTATTATCACAGCAAAAAAATATATAAATCTTATAAATACTTCTAGAACCAGCAGTAAATCCAGAAACAGCAGTAAATCCAGAAACAACAGAACCAGCATCATCAAAATCTTCAAAATCAGATGTTAACCTATCCCAGTTCTCCATATTATTGCCTGATATTTGAGAATAAGGTGTAGTTGCTCGATTCGATATAAAGCTTTCTGCAGCTGACATTGATGAATTTCGGCCAGGAAACGGCGTTGATGATCGAGTAGTTCTGCTTGCTACAACATCAATTATATAAAATTAAATTTATTAGCTATGTAATCTGATATTAGTTTGCGTAATCAAGGTGATATATATATATATATACAGTAGAAGTCGTTTAGTCCGGCTTGCTTATGACCGACTAAAAAAACATCAGAGCTCATTTTGGAGATATGGTTTCTTTGGCAAAGTATCTTATTTTGATCCCTAGTATACAAAAATGCGTCTATGCGACTTTTTACCCATACAAATCGACCCGCCCTAATATAAATATATATATATATATATATATATATATATATAAACAGTAAAGCCTCGAATAACCAGACAAATTGTTGTCAATAGGCATACGGATAATCAAAAATCCAAATAATCGAATGTATAAAGAATAATGTTGTGTATTTATCAAAAATAACAAATACATACATGGATATCAACGAAAATAAGGTTTATTAAGAAATTAAAACTTCCTTATGTATGTACATATATAGATTACATTACATACATATACTAAACTGCAGCATCAATCATGCAAAAATTCGAATTGTATGTATGTACATACATAGAAATTGGTCGCGGTTGGTAGTCCAGATAATCACAAATTATATAATATAATAATCATATATATATATATATATATATATATATATATATATATATGACTTTGATTGAATTGCGCACTATCTAAAAGTTAATATTAAGAGCTAAAACTTCCAGAAAATTGTTTTTTATCAATTTGGAACCATTTGAGGAAATTCGAAAATGTCCATATTAAGAACCACCCTAATATATATATATATATATATATATATATATATACATATATATATATATCTTATATATAAAATTCTTCTATAACAATGTAAGTTTCATAATTCCTCCTAAACTATAATTCGGATTTTCATGAATCTTCCTGAAGTTTGTTCGGGAAATTTTCTAGAATGTTTTGATTCATAGAAATATAGTTAGATTGTAGAAATAAATGAAAAAAATTACAAAAAACCGCTTATCATTGTTTGCCCTTGAAAATATTTGAAGCTTAGTTTGACATTAAAAACAATTGAAGACTGTCATTTGCCAATCATTTCTATTCACTTACAGGCTAAGGCAATATTAACATATAATATATTCATGATTATGAATAAGGAAAATGTAATGTCTACATTATTAATGCCGAAAAGCAGCTGAGATGTGCCAAAAATTAAATTAATATAAGATGCAAATAATATAACATGCGCCTGACGCGCACGGCGAATCGTGTTCTCAACGTACGCGTGGTTTGCTTTTGCTTGCAATAATTTTGTTTGCGCACTTTGCGAACAGATTCGCCGTACGAATTCGTGCAAAGGAGTCGAGCTATAAGTGATTGCGCTCAAAAATATTCAATTTACGGTCGTTTTGCCTTACTATACTAAGTCACAATACAAAAAAAATTATTTAGAAGTTTCATTGTGTCAAAAATTGTAATTTTACTTTTTTCAAAATAACGTTGGGTATCGATAAAAGAACTAATTATAAGAGAAAAATGTTTAATAATGTTTTTCAAAAAAGCAAATACTTTTCAAGCTACTGGCTACTGAAAATTTGTTTCTTTTTTGCGTTTTTCATCGTTTTTTGCTAATATCTTCAAAAATATACATTTTAACGAAAATCATGTAATGGACAAAATTATATCAATAAAAATCCTAATAAATCGCTATTCTACAGTGTTCTAGGAACAATATTAAGTTAATTATGAAAATGGGTTTTTATAGTTCTCATAATAAGCTTCAAAAGAAGTACTTCTGCGTGTAAATTGAGTAGATGCAATTAAAAGACGCATACAATGTTTTTTTTTTCATTTAAATCAAATAGTTTATGAGTGCCATTACCACCAAAATTAAAAAAAGAGTGCGCGTAAGGATCACACGCGATTGTAGTAAAACTTTTAATATTGTATGAGTAGGCAATTAAGATAAAAATAAAAAAAACATCATATTTGAATTTTAAAAATCATCTTTTAATAATCATATAACATCAATAATAATAAGATCTCCTGAGCATCGGCACAACTGTCCTACTGATATTAAGAGTTTGAATATGATGTGAAGCTTTCTTCCTAATTTTGTTACCTATCTTACCGGGAAATTCAAACCATAAACGTAGAAGTTCATCATTATCGCCACGTTCTATGTACACTAATTTTCCTACACAACCATTAGCTAAGCCATCACTTACATCAGTATTAGTTGTTATTATGTAAAATTTATTCAGAACTAAAATTATTTCATACGGCAAAGCCCCGGTATCAATAACCGATTTTTTTGAAACTGCTGACGAATGTATGATTGTTGATCTGTCGCATGGCAACCTACATAAATATCCGTGGCAGTAGATATTATTTTGTCTTCAACGAGATTCAGTATAAATTTATTATATTCCATGACACATTTATTCTCTAAGAAAAGTCTTATTCCATAAGGACATAATACAGCAACCTCTTCTTTTGTAAAAAAAACGTGATTCAAATGACGGGAGTGGATACTCGCGACATCAGCGCTTACGGCGTCGTAGTGTTCAACTACACGTTGGCATTTTCGTTGCATTTGTACGGATTTACACCCGTGTCGCGCCTAAAAATTTTTACACCCATATCGCGCCTAAAGAAGTTTTACTTCAAAAAAATCGTTTTTCATCTAGAATTAACTTGGTTTGAGAGATCTTGATGGATTCTAGAAAATACCATAACATTAGTACAATCGATTTTCAAAAAACTCATGATTTCATAAAAAAATCCATTTAATAAAACAACCAATTTCTCATTATAATATCTCTAAAAGAATACGTATAAAAGTATATATATGAAAATTCAAGGTATTTTTCAGACTAATTATTGGTTTTTATTATTTTTTTGTTACACAAATATTGATAGAGTTCTAATTGTTTGAAGAGTGCGCAGCTATCCAACCGGAGTGTCTTTCGAGCCCTTTAACCCTTCGCCGTTTCAAAATAAGAGAAGTTACGGTAAAATTTATGATAAAGAAAGTTGTAGCTCATTTATTCACCTTTAAAATAGTATATTACGAGTTATGATAAAATCAGAATTAAAGGAGTTATAATCCAATTAATTCGAGGGGTGGTGACGAAATGCAAATTGTTTTCACTTCTGAACTTTAGATAAAGATTAGCTGGGCATACGCTTTTTTCCTCTCCATTTACTGCAATAATTTTGTTGATAGTAGGTTGAATAGAGCACATGTGAACAAAATTTGACAAATTAATTCACTTCAAATATGAACTTAAGTAATAATGTATATTGAATTATTAGTGTGAAAAATGCAATTTAGATATTAAAAAACTAAAACCCAGTTAAAATATGGTACGAAATTATAAAAATTGTAGACAACATTATTGAAGCAATTATTTTGGGTAGAAAAATCCTAGGTGATATTGTACCTTGACCGCGCATGCTATATATTAATTCTTTCTGAATTTGTTATACTTTTTAAAAGATTTCAATTTTCAACACGTGTATCTATGCTATGACAATAAATACATGGTGATAAATTTGGAAAATAATGTTTTAGCCGTGAATAAACAAAAAATCATTCATTTAAACATTCACATCTACAGGTATGTCTGAAAATATTGTATAACCCTTAAATTAAATAAAATAAATTGAGCTATTGGAAATAAATTTGTTCTATAAATCGCAGTGTATAATTTTTAATATATAATTTTATTGAATATATTTTAATATTTGTTAAAGGGATAATTAAAGTGTTAACTGTGGGAATTGAGAATAATCATTTTATTTGAAACAGTACTACATTTAACAACACTCATGTATTGGTGTAAATAGTAACTCGAAAAATAATAATGATTATTTTTAACTGAATGGTGTAAATATTAGTATAGGATATTAAAAAAACGTAGAGGTGAGTACAGGACAACGTCTGTCGGGCCATCTAGTATATATATATATATATATATATATATATATATATATATATATATATATATATATGATTGACTTTGATTGAATTGCGCACTATCTAAAAGTTAATATTAAGAGCTAAAACTTCCAGAAAATTGTTTTTTATCAATTTGGAACCATTTGAGGAAATTCGAAAATGTCCATATTAAGAATCACCCTAATATATATATATATATATATATATATATATATATATATACACCTAAGTCTGTTTTTACACGGAGATTGGTTCCAGAAGAATCCGTGTAAAAAAAGACATTGATCTTATACAAAAATGGGTGATTTGTTCCTAATCTCTAAAACCTATTAAAATTGGTGAAAAACAAGAATTTTTAAGAACAAGAATTAAATTAGTGCTATTCACTTTTGCTTTAACCAGTAAAAATTGTTTGTACACGCTAAAGGGGAATTCACTTAAATCTTTAAGCTAGTGTTCGCAAACTATCGATACTATCGATGGTTTCAGACTTTTTTCTTTCATAAATACTTTTTTGTGATATGAACATACTTCGCAAAAATTTAATTTGACAAAAAAAATTTAGGTACATAAAATTTCAAATCGTGCTAAATGGTATAAATTCGTGTAAAAAAATTAAAAATATTCAATTTTCAAACCGTGTTATATCAAAACCGTGTACAAAAAGACCGTGTAAAAACAGACTTAGGTGTATATATATATATAACGAGTGTGTTGAGTCGGGCAATAGCACCAAATAAAAAAAAATCTAAAGCAATTAGGAAATCAGCTTTATTAATCCATACGTTTTAATCTTCATCAAAATTGTCATTCAGTGGAAAAAGACAAAAACTAACTATACTATACAAACTAACACAATTGTAACACCAAGCTATCAATCATTCAAACATTTAAAACTAATTATGAATTTGAGTTAAAAAAAACTAGATTTCTGTGCATCGTTGTTGTAAGACAGTGCGCTGAATGAATTCTTTCTTCATTCTGAATGAATGAAGAAGGAGCATTACTTGTAGTAATTTCAAATCCACGGTTAGTTATATAAAATGTAGAAATATTATGGATAATATATGATTTTAATTTATAGTTTAGTGATAATTTATATCAAAAACTATGAAATATTATTTCAAAAACAAATACTTAAACTTATACTTTCTTGTCAACCAACAAAAACTTCATAAGCATGCAAACATAATTAATACAATGCAATCAATTGCAAATATTTACCACTGGACAAATTGAGGTTAGCCACTTCATCGTCGCATTCATCACTTTTGTATTGTTTGTGGCTCCTAGCAGAACTTCTCCTTCTTCTTGTAATATTTTTTCTTTTTTGTTTCTTACCAGTTTGAACCTTTGCTGATTCTTCAATCCACTTTTCTAATTCTTGTTTACTGATTTCTGACAGCTCATTTGCTCTTACCTAAATGAAATAAATTTTATTAGTATTATTACATTTGAATAATATGGTTCATGATAAGACTTCATCAACACAAAAAAAAGTAAAAGAGTAATAATATGGATGAGATTATTATAATTAGTAAGCAGTTAAACCTATTCCATAAACATAATGGATTAGCCGATCATCTCATTAGAATGTTGACGGTGCAAAGAAAAAATTAGTTTTTGGGGATAGCAGGTTCAGCATTTTTGAACAAATAGTTGTTTTCCAAAAATTTAGAATATATTAAAATATTCAAAATATTTGAAAATATCAAAATTTTCAAACAATTTGGAATTTTCAAAAAGTTTTATCTCATAATTTTTTTATGAGATTTTATGTATGTTTTCATTTCTTGTATCTTTACACAAATTGTTAGTAGAATTTGCTCATTGTCTAATTCAATAAATTTATGGTACTGATAATAATCAGTTTCAAAACACATATGTAAAATAATTGTTATAATCATTGATCAATTTATTTATTTATTATTGATTTTTATTCCAATGCTTAATTGTAGTATGAAAAGTTCCAGCAATTTGCCTTAAGACATAATGCCATGCACTACAAGTTTCAATATAAAGTTAAAAACATTACTAACCAGAGATGTTGATTGTTCAGTGCCCATGACAGAAACATTATCATTGTAATCAACATCAACCTCATTAATAATACTTGAAGGGCCAGGTGTTGAACTTTGCCTACTTCTAGATCTAGTCCAAGCGCCATTATCATTATCATTCATTGATCGGTTTGCTCCTGAACATTTTGCCACATGCCATGTAAAGTCCATTGGATTTGCATATTCAGCATTACACACCTAAAAGCATGTCACATAATGCATAAGATAAAGTTTTAGTTTTAAAAACTACTCATTCTACTTCAAAAGAAGTTAAAAAAAATTGTAAATGCTTATTTCATAAAAACAAGCCAGGTACGATGTTTTCATACAGTGAAAAAGTTAGTGTTTTCACTATTTTTCACATTGGCAAAACACTTTGGCATAAGAATGTATGCAAGCAAAATTTGCCTTTGATACATAATCTTTAAATAATAATAATAATATTATTAAGAATTTATTATTATATATATGCAGCAATTCTCCTCCAGTTTGACCAATTTTTATTCAAATTTAGTATAATTGAGAATAAGCCAACAACTACTTTTCATACCCCTAAATAAGGGTGGTTGACTACCCTTAAGATTTTTTTAAATTTTTTGGACTTATTTCTTTAATTTTTTTACAATTCATAATTAAAAAACACATACATCACAAAATTTTACTCTTCTACAACAAACCCTTATTTCTTCCTTATATATGTATGTATATATATATATATATATATATATATATATATATATATATGTGCGTGTATGCGTGTGTAATTATTATAAGAGTCATTTCTATAATAAATTTATTTCAAATGATTCTAATAAAAAACATACCTGGCAATTATATCTTTTATGAGATTTCTCATGTTTTTTCAACATATAATTTGTTCGGAAACTATTATGGCAAATTTTGCATACATGCGATTTATCAGCAGCCTTCTGTTCTCTTTGTTCCTTCAAAGCCCTCCTCTTATCATGAATATGAGTATTGATAAGATGCCTATTCAATAATAACTGTGTTCTAAAGTACTTTTTGCAGAATGCACATGTACTTGATTTTCTTCTGGCCGCAATAGTAATTTCATCATTCTGCTTATCAACACGGCCACCTGATTCTGTTTCTAATGCAGATTCGACTGGTGTTGTATATAGAACTTCAAGTAATGGAGGATGATTTTCAGGCATCATTGGCAATACATCTTTCTCATCATCTATGGCTATGTTATTTCTGGATGATTTATGACCTCCATCAAATGAACTACCTTTGTCAATTGGAGAGCTATGATAAGTTGGTCCTCTTGTGTTAGCGTTGATGTGATTAAAATTGATTTGAAGAATTTCATTTTCATGCACTTCAAGCATCTAAATAGTATTTAGTTATTATCAAATTAATATATATATATATATATATATATATATATAAATTTACATTTATAGTAAATATAAAAGATGTAAAAAAAAGTCATTTTTATAATTATGATTATGATAAATTTTTTAGTACAGACAGAGATTTAACTTACATCATTATGGTCTAAAATGTTATCAATTTCAATATTTTCTGAGATACATGAGCCATTTGGAGAATAATATTTTCCCATTGCAATATTCTGGTTCAAACTGGAGACCCTTGAAGATTTTGATGAAATCTCAACCTCATCCAAACTGGAATCAAGATCTAATTTTTTCTTTCGTTTATTACTACCATCCGATGATTGACCGAATTTCTTGCCACGTGTCATCATACCAAGAACCTTTGGATTTCCGACAGTCTTAGAAAACAGTTTTTTATGATCGGTGGCACCATTACTGCTTCCCATAACTGAATTATGATCTGACTGAGATGTTCCATTATTAGTATGAAATTTATCTCGCTCGGATTTTCGTGTTGTTCGCCGGCTGACTTTGCTGACATCACTGAAAATAAAGAAAAACCTTTATTTTCTTTTATTTCTTCAATGAACTTAACATGAAAGGGCAAATATATATATATATATATATATATATATATATATATATGATTTAGTAGTTAATTTTGATGTTGAAATATATGAGTGAGTTCTTGAGGGCGATACATCAAACAAAGAAAAGGCAAAGATTTATAAAACAATCTTTAATTTCAAACGTTTCGACATTCAATTTAATGTCATCATCAGTGGATCTAAAAACAGTATGAAAATTAGTATATCTAGGTAATTATAATATATGTGGATTGATATCGTAACTATACAATAAGAGAAAAATTAACAAACAGCAACACTTAACAACAAACAAAATATAAAAGATAGGAAAGGTAATAGAGACTAGAATTAAATAAATAATTAAAAAATATAGGCAAAAATATATAAGTACACACATATATACACATATACATACATATATTTATATATATATATATATATACATATATATATATACATATACACACACATGCAAACATATAATACACATATACATATACAAATACAACAATATATACCTATATATGTACACATATACATGTACGACTATACATATATAAATATACACATATACATGTATGCAACGTGCATGCATATTCACAACGACGTACATGTACATGTATGAAACATACATATACTCATACCTATCTATGTAACTATAGCTATACACGTATACATATACATATACGCATAAACATGTATATATACACATATACATACCCACATATATACATATATACACATATATATATACACATATACATATATATATATATATATATGTATATATACATAAACACATATACACATACATATATACATATACACACACAATACATACATATATACATATGTACATAAATGCTCACATATATATACATATACATACATACATATATACACATATATAAATACATGTATACACATATATATATGTACATACATACAAACATACATGTAAATAAATAATATATATATATAATACATATATACATACAAATACGTATATATATATAAACATACACATATGTAAACTCGTATATATGTAAAGCAAACAAAATATTTATGAAGATGGATAATACATATAAAATACAAGTGGACTTACTTTACGTTGGTTGGTTACATCTAGAGAAGTGTACACAACATTAGAGATTGGCACTAACATTTATACAACTAACTTGTCAACACTATGCATTTTTTATAATTTTTTGTATGATGTAAACAGAAAAATGAAAGTTTTATTTGAACAAAAATGTAAGTAAAATTATGTAATTTCTGCCACGACTTCTGTACTTTGCGAGTACCGAGGCATGTATGAACGCCAACACGTGTTTTGAAAGATTTTTAAGGGTCATTCAAGGATTGTTATGAGTGGGTAGGTAGAAAATGGTCGAAGTTGAAACTAGTAATGTTAGGCTAGGTTTGTATGGTTAGAATTAGGAGAAAAAAAATTGGAAATGTTATTTAGTATTACTAGGTAGTTATACTTATAACTCAAATATCTAAAATAAAAATCTTTTAAGGGTTATTCAAAATTTGCTATGCATGGGTAGGTAAAGCTCGGGTTTCAAGGCCGAAGTTAAACTAGGAAATGTTGGCAAGGTTAGTATGGTCAGAATTAGTTTTGTTCAGAGGAGATAAATTTGGAAACATTATTTAGTATTACTTGGTAGTTATCGCAGAGTAAGGAGGTATCAGATCTCTTGTTTACCGCGTGATCACATACTGATATGAAACAAGATTCTGCAAAACGTCTCTGAATGGTGTTCCGTTCATGGTTGAGAATACTGGCATTATAAAAGTTAAAGGAGTGTTTGAAATTTTTTATGTGTTCTGTTATCATAGTTTGGTTTTGGTTGGGGTTTTTCGAATTATTGTCGTGTTGTTTGAGTCTTTTTATTAAATTTTGTCCGGTTTCACCTATGTAAGTAGAAGGGCAATCATTGCAATTTATTTTGTAGACAATGTTGGACGTACGTTCTATACTAGTGGGAGATTTCAGGTTTGTGTAGAGGGATTTAAGAGTTAGATCTATGTTGCAAGTTAGTCTGATGTCTACCTTATGAAAAAGTTTTTTCCACACCGGAAAAAGTTCTTTTACGTAAGGTAAACAAACGTTGCCTATATAGTTATTGCATACATGTATATGCATATATTTATATATGTATAGTCGTACATGTATATGTGTACATATATAGGTATATATTGTTGTATTTGTATATGTATATGTGTATTATATGTTTGCATGTGTGTGTATATATATATATATATATATATATGTATATGTGTATATATGTGTATGTATATATATATATGTATATATGCGTATGTTTATATGAGTGTACTTATATATTTTTGCCTATATTTTTTAATTATTTATTTAATTCTAGTCTCTATTACCTTTCCTATCTTTTATATTTTGTTTGTTGTTAAGTGTTGCTGTTTGTTAATTTTTCTCTTATTGTATAGTTACGATATCAATCCACATATATTATAATTACCTAGATATACTAATTTTCATACTGTTTTTAGATCCACTGATGATGACATTAAATTGAATGTCGAAACGTTTGGAATTAAAGATTGTTTTATAAATCTTTGCCTTTTCTTTGTTTGATGTATCGCCCTCAAGAACTCACTCATATATATATATATATATATATATATAAACGGGCCGCAAGTGTTGATAATAACTCAAAATATCAACTTTTTTGAAATGTTAATATGAAAATGCAGTTTTTGGCGTTGTAGCACTCTTTTTATGCAAATCATATTTCTCAAACACTGTGTTCTGAAAGATCTTATTTGTATGATTATATACTCATTGGTATTTATAAAACATTTCCTGGGTTATATTATTTTTTATTCATATTATTTAAATTAAGAACCTAAATTTGGTATCGATCAAAGGGACATTTTGTTGAATAACATTTTTCCAGTTATAATTTCCCAGAATTTATCGAAGCATAGATAAAAATATATGAAAGTCCGGGGTGAAAAAAGTCCACTACCGATGTGTCAAACACCATTAAAGTTAAGCATTGTTTAACAACAATATTTGAAAGTAGAGGGAAAAAGATGCAAAAAAACAGCTCATGACTTTGCTATATTGAGATAGCAAACGCTAATCTTTGAAAATTTATAATAAAAGTATGAAATGTCCCTTTGATCGATACCAAATTCAGGTTCTGAATTCTTCCGTTGGTAGTTTTTTCACATTAGTTAAAAATGTAATTGTTTTGTTAAATACCTTTAAGATTAAATTAAGACATTAAACCCGTTTGCTACCTGGCCGTTCCAAGTTACTCCGCCTATAGGATAAAAAAGTCTAGATAACAAATTTTTGAATGACAGCAAAAAAGCACCTTTCTATAATGATGAAGTAGCTGACTGTTTTACTGAACGTAGTCCGATAATAGTTCGTTTGAAATCCGTTATTTGTTGTGATATAATTGGAATTTATATAATATCATTAATATTTGCTCAAAGTCAAATTGGACCTTTGTGCCTCGCCTTGCTCTACATATATAGTTTTTATTAAATTTACTTTAATTCATTGAATGTTACTTGAAACTTCTCAAAAAGCAGGTCAAAGAAGTAATACTTAATTCATTTTCTATCTCTCCTCACTGAAGTTTGAAAATTTTTTATAAGCTCAGTATTGTTATTCACAATTATACACAAAATCCAGAATCCAAAAAGAATCTGAAAAACTTGAAACGTAATCAATAAGTCGAAAGACCAAAAAAGACTTGAATGGATTATACTATGTTTTCTATAGAAAGTGTATAAATCTTCCAGTTTGATTGTACTGACAAAATATAGACAAAATAATGGGGTTTATTGTTTTTATAATACTACATTATATATAGCATTCAAATACATCCTTATACACTTCCTTCCTTATACATCCTTATACAGTATTAATATTTAGATTTTCTAGAAATTGTTTGGAATATACCTTACTTAGCAAAACAACATTTGCCGGGTCAGCTAGGATATTTATATATATATATGTATATATATATATATATATATATATATATATATATATAAATATATATATATATATATACAATAATTAGATTTTTTTTTGTACATGACTCTTATCATAATATTATCAACTTTTTCAAAAATAATTTTTGACTGATTTAATTTTTGATTTAATCTTTGACTTTTGTGTTATCATAGTCTATTTGATTTTATGTTTTATTTTTCAAAATTGTGTCCGCACTGTTATCCCTGAAACCCTCTCCTAAACACTCTTTGGGTGTCACGTGACTTTACATCATATGTGTTCGATTTGCTCAGAACTTACATTACACAAATTTTCAGTTTTAAAATTAAAAACAAAACATGTTCACTTAATATGTTTATTTTCTATATTTATTTTATATGTAATGTATGTATGGTTTATTTTCTATATGTAATATCAAAAAAATGTTTTTTTCTGGTGTCGTATGTATATCTTTTATTTTTTAATTATTTCAAATAAAACATTAAATTTATTTTTTAAACTTTGTAAATATTCTTTTATATATTGATTAACAAAAACTGCTGAATGATGACACATAATCCGTGTCAAAACGAATATTATAAATAAATATTTTAGTTTATTAGTTTTTTTTTTATTTCGACAATTGGCTGAAAATCAATATTCAAGATCTATATATATATATATATATATATATATATATATATATAAAGTAAATAAAAAAGTATTGCCAAACCTGCCACTCTGAGATATGACATCAATAATTTTCAACCAATTCTCCTCAGCAGATGATTGCGTCTGCCGCTCGCTTTCTCCCTGTACGTATCTCATCCGAAGCTTGTTAGAGCTTATCAGAGACCTCATACGAAAATCACATATGGCACGTGTCAATTTCCAACACTGAGCACAACTCAAGCTCAGTAAACTTTTTTGAAATAACTAAAAATACATTAAAAAATATGAGTTTATGAAATAACATGTCTTTTCACAAATAAAAGTGAAAGTTAAAAGAATAGTGAAATAAAAACAAAATAAATATGCAACATGGTTCCTTATAAAATGATTTATCCTTAAATGTTTGATTATATCTAAGAATATTTGGAATAGAAGTACCATCGTTAACATTAAGCAAAACTATAAATTTATTTATTCCAGCATGGCTTATGACAAAAAAAAATATTTCAAATGATCACTAACAACCACTGTAATATATTTGATAAATAAATTATTAACAATTTATTATAATAATCAAACTTTCATATTGAATACTGATTTAAAAGAAAATATTCTTCAAACAAACAAATAGTGAATACATACTATGCATATAATCAGAAATATAAAAAGACAATCAGCTTTAAGTTTACAAATAATATCCAGAACCCCTAAAGACAATAATGTTCTATTCATAATACAAACAATGTACATAATCATTAATCACAAAGGTGTATATATATATACACATACAGAAAATTGTATACATGACCAATATATGGTGTCGGGGCTAGTCAAATACTTCAAAAAGAATATTCTATTAAAGTTGTCAATGCAAACATAATGTGTGCAATAAAATTAACAAACTGTTTAGTGATAGCAATTCAAGAACTACACGGCCATACTTGAAGGAAAGAGATACCAAGAATGAAATAATTATAAAGAAATGTAAATAAAGGCACAACAAACTACTCAATTTCTATCTTTCTTTTTGCAGAAATGTTATTTTTTAATTGTGTTTTTCGTAAAACAGGTGAATGTATGTCAGAAAAGCTCACAGAAATAGGAGTTAACTTGATTTATTCTAAGTGATTTTTATCTTAATAAAGCTTCTTGCTCAAAGGCCATGCCGGTATTCATATAAGAATATAATAAATGTATGTATGCATGTATGTATTTGCATATGCATATAGATGTTATGACAAAAATATCAAATATCAATTTGATACCAGAAGAATTGGCAATTAAAATAATCGCCAAGATAATACATTTACACGATATTATATTTCATACGATTTGCTAAAGGCAATAAGCCACACATAACATTAAATTTAGCTTTAGAATAATAATTGTAACTAGTTATAAAATAGTTAGGTTATGTGATGTTTCCTTAAAAATACAGAATCAAACTTTTATAGTTATAATAAAATGGACACATAATTCAATACAAACATTTTCACAATCTTTAATTTGTTGAAAGGTGAAATCAGGAACAAACTTTGTAAACAAATTATTAATTTTGACACAGTCCTGCATAGATATATTTTTATGATTTTCAGCACCGCATGTTACACATTGTATTACATTTGATGTATTCTTCGGAATTAGCATTATGGTTAATAAAAATCTTAATTATTATCTTGGTGGCTCACTAACTTGTCATTATTATAAATATATACAACATTTTTGCAACCACAACACCGCGAACTAAACTGAACATGGCGGCTAAATATGAAAAACTGGTATAGTCTTGATATATTATCTTATCTTCAAAGTAATGAAAAATCATATAACCTATTATCATAGGTAATCGTTTTTAATACAATATTAAGTTTTTAGAAAGATAAATTATGCAATTTAAAATTTAAACAAATACCAAATAAATTTGTTTAAATGTCATAATATTAGTATTGCCAGATATATTTAAATATAATAATAATTTAAATGAATTTGGCGCGCAATTTGAAATTACATGCTTTCGAGTACTGTTGTTTCATTTTATGCGTTATATATGAGTATGAAGTACAATTGTTAGAATGAAAATAATATAAAAAAGAGATCAAGGGCTTATATCGCAATCTTATATATAAAAATGGATCGCAAAATGTGTTGGTAAGCGCATAACTCAACAACGCCTGGACCAATTTGGCCAATTCTTTTTTTAAAATGTTCGGTCATGTCCAAGGATGGTTCTTATGGCCTAAAAAATTGAATAATCGCCGGGAAAAACCCTAAAAACAGCCCATTTCTCTTTTATCGAGTAGGCAATGAAATTTGTAGAAAAACAACGATCTATGTCATGACATTTTGTGTAGTTTTTGATAATCTAATTTTTAATATATTATATAAACATTGAAATATCTTTCTATTAATTAACGAGCTATATTGGCATCCAAAAACAATGATGTAAATGAATTAAATTTCAAAATTCAAGAAACAAATTACAGGCGACTCAGTTGATTCGGCAACTAACCAAGACGATCCACCGGAGTTTTTAAACTCGCTGGATTTGCTAGGATGTCACCTCACAATCTTCAAATAAAGGTTGGATCGGCAATATAATGTTGCAAAATATCGACCAACCGCGCCTTTGCAACGGCACAAGGTTAGAGATAAAAAAAACTACCAAAAACATGATGGAAGCAACTGTATTGAAAGGATAGTATAAAGCAGAAGATGTTCTCGCACCGTGCATCCCAATGATTCCGACTGATGTGCCATTTGAGATTAAACGACTACAGTTTTCAGTGCGTTTATGGTATCATTAAGTGTTTGTGGTATTAATTTGGAAAACCCATGTTTCTCACATGGAAAATTGTATGTTGTCTGTTCCCGTATTGGAAAACCATCAGATTTGTTTGTCTATGCGCCAGGTAATCAAACAAAAAACATCGTTTATCACAAAGCACTACAATGAAAATTGAACTGATTTTTGAATTATGATTTACATTATTAAAATTACTTACTTTTAAATGCTTATAGTGTTTTATTTAATTATTTTTAATTCACACCGAATTATTACCAGAGTGACGGTTCTGTTCAGGATAATTTTTTGCAAAGAATAGAAAAAAGGTAGGAACAAAACACCGCTGCATTACAATTTTTTTGACAGAACGAAGTCTGTCGGGTCGGCTAGTATGTAATAAAATTATAAATGATGTCTTTCTGATATCAAAAAGCATAATATAGTTATGATAAATAAATAAACAATTGTATTACTCCTTTAATAAATTATTTAAGAAAGTAGATTTCGGATCTAAATCATTATTTGTTGCATGAAAATCTTGAAAAAAATTATAGTCTCTCATAATTTAAGCATGTGGAAATGATGACATAGAGGGTGTGGCCAGGACTAAGCGCTTATTGATGTGAATGAGATGATATATCCAAATCGGTCTGAAATCGTTGACCAAAATGTACATTAAACAATGTTAAGAAACAATTTATTAAATTAGCAAAGAGTATATTTTTACAAAATACATATTATCGGTATGTTAAAATATACATATACAAATTTAAAAATCTTATGCATAAATAATACAATCATTACAATTTCAGTGCTCTATAGATTAAATAATATAAAAATAAATTAATAAATATTTAATATCGACAATGAATATGCATATATATAAACCTATCAATACATTTT